TTTTTTTTGCTGGGACGTTGCGTGGTCCTTGCACGGGCTGGCCGCCCGGGTCTATACGAACGTACGGAGGCCCCTAAGCTGACCCCCGAACGTTCGGGCGTTCGGATCCCCGTATACGGCCCGAACCTGAAGGGGTTCGGACCCCGCAAAAAAATATTTTGGCACCTAAAGTATTATTATTTTTATGTGATTTTTTTTTTGTGAGCTCTTTGTGATGTAAGCACAGATAGTGTTCAATACAAAAAACAATCATGCGAAAGTAATGAGGACAGCAGAAAAGGGGGGAGAGATAGACAAGGACGAAGATGTTAGGCAATATCCGAGCGCAGGTGCGCGTCATCAAAAATAGAAAGAATTAACCAACATGACGCAGAGCGGCACGACCCGACGCCGCGTTTCGACCAGTCGCCAGCTGGTCGTCATCAGGGGTCAAGTCCTGGACTCATATAGAAAACACTACTGTAGTCAATGCTTAAGTACTAAAATCCCTTCTACCTATCCATCGAAACACTCCGAACCTGGTCTCAACTTGAAAAAAGCCTAGAAAACATCGATACGTCAACTGGGTTGCAAAGTCACCCCACTACCGGGCCCAAAATAGCCTTAGAGATCAAACGCAGAAAGGATCCCTCAGAAACTACAAGAACAGAGAATAGGCCTAAGCTTTGTCCGCACATACCAATAGTCACCAGTGCCAATTCGTGAGGCACCTGACCCACCGGTTCCAAGAGCCGTTGAACCTTCGTGAGAAATTAATCAACGCCGTATCAAAGTATCTGTCAGGGAACAGACCTCGGCTCCAGGCATACTGTTCCCGGAACAATCTCATCCTGAGTTCTATTTCCAGTGTTAGCAAAAAACAGACCTCGGCTCCAGGCGTACTGTTCATGGTCTTAGCTCGATGTAGAAAAGAAGAAATTACTGCCATCTTCTGCTGTTTGGAAGAGTAGGAATAGAAATCTTGGAGACCCTGAAAAACGATACCTTCTTCAAGAATGTGCCTCTCATTCTTATGTGTGACGGCACACAGAACCCTTGCTGGTTCATGGAACACTTTAAGAACACATCCTAAATAATCCCATACGTCATCGTCGTTGGTCTTTACCAAGGTAAGTTTCGAGTCGTAGCATCGGCTGAAGAGTTCAATACACTTAAAGGCATCCCATCTGGAGATCATGGATCTTCTGTCGTACTTGGCAAACACAGAAACGCCATCAATCAGTCTCACTCTGGAAAACATCACCCGCTTGCTGTCCAGAGATCTAACGAAGCAAGACTCGTTATATACACATAGCAAACAGGCGAGAGCCGGGCTGGCAGGCTTGCCCATTGGAATACCAACTGTTTGCTGCAACACTTTTCCCATACACATGGTGAATGTGTTACTCAAGTCGAAAAATACCATGGAAAACAACTTCGAGAACTTAACTGACATCCATCCTTCAGGTGAATTCCGTGCTTTGGATAACTTTGCACCCTTGCCACGTCGTTTGGCCAAAACTCGTTCGTGGCCATACTCTTCGTATACTGAAACCAACCATTCTAAAGCGCAAACGATGGATTTGTGCGGCAAGTTCGAAAACATCTCTTTAACATCAAAGCTAGCAGCAACTACATCCTCAAAAGAATCAATTGATGAGTTGAAGAGGGACAATCGTCGAACTAAATCACTAGTGGATTTGAGATTGAAATTATTGTCTTCAGGAAGAAGCCAAAGAAGGTGGTTGATACATTTAGACACTACTCTACTTAATCTTGCCAAGGGATCAGACCAAGAGGGGCAGATTGGCCTCCATCGTTCAATATCTTTGTGCTTGGGCATGGCATATGCCTTACCCAACGCACACTTGTAGTTCCATGGAATAAGCTTCTGAGTATACCAATATCTTTGTGTTCAATCCTCGGAGGTAAATCTCAGGGCAGCATACATAAGAATCCCCTGGGTTGTGATCTACAGCACATACTACCAAGCCCTCAGTCTTCTCTTTCCATTCACGAACCACCCTACAGTCAAATTGAGTATACCAATATCCACCCTTTGCGTCCGAAAAACACTTTCTCAACTCGGCCTTATCAACAAGGAAATGGGAGGTGTCATTTTGAACAGCACAGAAAGATTCAAGGAGCAAGCGAGACAGAGTGGAGAGATTGGATCGAAGATTGGGGTAAGGGATATTCCGTGAGTTCTTGAGAATGGGGTGCACGTCAATGCTCGAAAGTCGACATGCTACATGGCCATCCGCGTTGAAGGTCAAAGAAGATGCAGACGTTGTAGACGAAGAGACTGATAGGGAGGTGGCTGACGAAGAAGGGGAAGGGGAGGTCGAACAAAACGAGCTGGCTGCAAGAAAACTGGAACAACCACAAGCTAGCGACGAGGATCTTGCCAGTTGCCTGAAATTATGAAGGTAATCTGCAACAGTCCTGTTACGTGGATAAACTATCCGGAGTCTACGACAGATGATATCACGCAACGGTTTCCTAACTGACGAATTACGTACCGTTCTAACACACAACTTCCTTAGCTTAGATTTAGACAAATTAACATCATATGGAATTCGAATGATAGGTTTAACTCTAATATTGAAATTATATCGACCCCGTAAGGCCCGCGCAATAACTCTCCGAAGAGTACTTATGCTATCCTTCCTGGACAAGGATCGTACTACTGAGTAATCTGCAACCAAATCATCAAAACTTCGTTTGTACAATTCTTTCCTTGATGCGGGGCAAGATAATAGTGGAACCAACGACTGTTTCCTTTTCAAAAATTTTGAACAGTAATGTGTTAGCCCCTCGATAGCTACATTCTCTCCAGGTGCGAAGCATTCCCTTGCTTTCCTCAAAATCTTAGTTTCCCCTCGTAACTTTGCCACGGTAGATCCATACTTACGCCGTAGAACTTTCCATTTGTCACAAAGAAAGGTCCCCCCCCGGCATTCCACCGAAAGGGACAAACAACCCTTATCGAACGCTTCATCCAAGATCTTGATAAGCGAAACAGAAGATGCACCGAAGGACGATGAAAAACTTAACAAAGTGCGAGTCTTATTGTGATCATTCCCTACAACAGAATGTTTATTGTTACGATGTCGCTCCTTTTTACCTTATCTATTCTTACAGTTCGTCTGACTGCTACAACCAAGACAATTCAAAAAAGGTGAAAAAGAACGAATACAAAACTGCTCAACATCCAGCAGATCGGTAGCCGTAGGATTCGCAATCGGTATTGCCACATAGTTCTCGATTCCATACCTGCGTAGCCATCTATAAAGCTTGTAATTACGTAGATTATTGTCCTGCCCTTGATATCTGGCACGGTACACGTGCTCTTTCCAACGCTCATCGACCAATCGAGAAGTACATCCTACGTACGTGTGTTTGCACCAAGGCGAAATCAGAATATAGACAACGGGACCTGGACAACTTTCAAAATCATAACCGGATTGAGCCAGAGCACAGATGAGAGGAAGAAATTTGAGTCCCCAGCTGAGGGCAGAAGAGAGAATCAACTGAATAGTGAGACAGCGGAAAAGGGAAGTGAAAGTAAAATTAGATATACCCTGCTTCGATCTTCTCAAGTTCCAAACATCAGAGAGTGAAGAATAAATACGACCCACGCTCGGTATCGATCCTACGAAGATTCCGAAACCAAGTGGTCGTCCGTGGAGGTGCCCGCCACGTCGGCCGATGATTCATCCTGATCAGGTTCACTCCGTTCCTCGTCCTCCTCTTGATCGCTCATCAGTTTTCGATTGGTTGGTCTGTCGAATGCACGAATCGTATAAATCTGGGCCAAATCGCCCGCAGTTTTCTTCACCCCACCATAATCGATCTCTTCGTCTATGCAGAGTGTCTCCAGCTGCGCCTTTCGTAGCTTGCCGAGATCGTTAATTACCCTCTTGAAGAACACATCTCTTTCTTCGCCAATCCTTCGTACAAAGGTTACCTTCACTTGATCACCTGCTTTTTGTTCGGGGCTGGCTCCCCCTTTACCGCTCGTCCTCCGCACAATAGGTCTCTTCTTGGAGCTGGAGGGTACCAAAATCCGGATGCGATTAATACGCTCCTTCAAGGCCGACACTTCTCTTTCGGCCATATCCTTCTCGTCGCGGAGTCGCCGATAGGCTTCGGTGAGCTTAGCCCACTCAACCGGTGTCTGACAACTCTCTTCCTGGCGGGACCTTCCGCGTGCTGGTTCAATAGGCGGACTCTTCTCAGTCAGCGCCTCCGCTCCCCGCTTGTTGCCTCGCTTGAGATTTTCCACTTCGTCGCGCAAGGTGACGATATCATGCACCAAAGCCTGGTTATCTGCCTTGATAGTATCCAACTCCCTACTAGCCTTGCCAGATGCTACGCGCAACAGATCCTGGTTCTCCCGTCGTAAACGTTCTATCTCGTCAGCCTTCTGTTTGTCGAGCCGAGCCCTAGCTGCAGCGTCCTCCCTTCGCCAATGGTTCTCCTGGTCTTTTCTCCTTTGGTCTTCGCAGGTGCCGCTTGTCGATGCTTGGCCCACACTAGTCTTCTTGCCTAGCACCTCCTGACACACCTCCTTCATATTGTCTTTGACCATCATACCGATGGATTTCTGGAAGTCTTCACGTTCCTTCTTGGCCTTGGCTACCCCGTCCGACCATAACCTTGATTGTAGTAGTTGTACCCTCGATTGTTGTAGTTACCGTATCCTTGATTCGAACCTTGATCTGCGCCATTCCTTTGTCCGTCCTGCTGACCTCCATTCGCGGGAGCTCGATATGGCACGATCGCATTAGCATTCGGAGCTGGCAGCAAACCATCGTTATCCTGAGCGCGTTGCTGCTCTGCTCCGTTGGCGCCTAGTAAAGCGGCGGCATTCGGGACCTGCCGAAGCTGGCAATCCCTAACGAAGTGACCCGGTTGACCGCAGTGGTGGCAGACCCTGCGCCCCCCGTAACTCATGATGGTCGATTACGGTGGAAGAAACACCAGACGAAGAAAAAGAACGAAGGTCTCTCGCAACCTAGAGAAGAACAATTGACCAGTATTGTGACCCTAAATCAGACGACGCCCGAATAGAGATCACGTTGCCGACCGACGTAACCACACTCACGTAGTATTCTGCTACTGCGGCTATTACGCATATTGAAGCACAGATAGTGCTCAATACAAAAAACAATCATGCGAAAGTAATGACGACAACAGAAAAAGGGGGAGAGATAGACAAGGACGAAGATGTATAAGCAATTTCCGAGCGCAGGTGCGCGTCATCAAAAATAGAAAGAATTAACCGACATGACGCAGAGCGGCGCGCCCCGACGCCGCGTTTCGACCAGTCGCCAGCTGGTCGTCATCAGGGGTCAAGTCCTGGACTCAGATAGAAAACACTACTGTAGTCAATGCTTAAGTACTAAAATCCCTTCTACCTATCCATCCAAACACTCCGAACCTGGTCTCAACTTGAAAAAAGCCTAGAAAACATCGATACGTCAACTGGGTTGCAAAGTCACCCCACTACCGGGCCCAAGATAGCCTTAGAGATCAAAACGCAGAAAGGATCCCTCAGAAACTACAAGAACAGAGAGTGGCGTGATGTAAGGTATTCTCCCTCTTAAGTTTGAATCCATTCTGTTGAGCCAAAAAAAAAAGAAAAATCCGCAAAGATGGTGGTGTCAAAACTTGCTTGTCCACTCACTAATTTGTTTTTTCTCTCTTTTCACTTTTTGTTTTTCCTTTATTTCGGGGCATGAAAAAACTTGTTATTTTTTCAATCTTTTTTTGTAGATTCTCTATTATGTAAGATACACGTATATAAATTTTCATGGCATTTGTCACAGCCCAAAACAAAATGAAAAATCGCCAAAGATGGCGGTGTCAAAAACGTGCTCGCCCACTCAATAATTTTATCCTCGTTTTATTTTTTATAATTTTAAATTTTCATTATTATTATTTATTTTTAGTGTTTGATTTTCATTTCAAATTTGGTAAAGAATTTGGATATAACGTTGAGGCAAATTTTGTTTACTTTATTCTTCTGCATAACAAATATGTTTTTCAGATTTTTGGAATTCGTTTTTTTTTTTGTTTTTTTTTTTCCCTTTGGGTCCGCATTCGGCCGAACGGCCGAACGTGTCGAGAGGGGGTGCTGAACATTCAGGTGTTTGGGTTCGGGCGTTCGGCCCGTCCCGAACGCCGGTAACCCTACATATATTTGTAACGATATATATATATATATATATATATATATATATATATATATATATATATATATATATATATATATATATATATATTGGAAATTGTTTTTTTCTTCCAAGCCCAGGTTTGTGAGTTGTCAGATGTGTGACAGTACATGAAGTTACGTGCTGCCCAAAACGGTCTGCCGGCAGTCTCACGATTTTCGAGGGTGCTGCCAGAAGGACATGAGTAAGGGGGGATAGGGCCTTGCTACACTACTCGACAAACGTGCAAAATGAGAAGCAATCTTCCGCAAGAAGATGGGAAGATACACCACCGTATTTTTTGTCTTTTGTCCGTGTTGTGAGTAGCGGAGCAAGGCGTGAGTAGCGAAGCAAGGCCCATATGCACGACTTAAAAAGTAATGGCCAAAGGTAGGTTTTGCTGTTTGCTTTTTTTTTTTTTTTTTTCAGTGCCCAAGGCTACAAAATCAGTGTCCACAAATTTCAAATTCAGGGGCCACGAGGAATTTGGCAGCCTTGCCAAATTGGCTTTCTAGGTAGCTGAGCCTGTGAGCCATTTGTGACCCTTGAGTGTTCTCTGGCCTTCTGCGGCGGTTCCTGTTCCGCCTGTATGTATGGGCTACGCTCCGTCGGTGAAGAAGGAGGACGACCTGCTTTGGTGCTACGCTCCGTCGGTGACGAAGTAAGCCGACCTGCTTCGGTTTGGCTCCTTGTTTTGGAGTCCTCGGACCGGGGGGCTTTTTACTGATTCGATTAGGCCTTTCTCAGCCTGACGCCGCGGACTATTTGACCCTGGGCTTCTCCACATTACGTATAAGTAAATGTGACTTCCAGTCGGTTCTTCCCCTTGTTCCCGACTGTCACGACAAAGGGGCTTCTATCGCCATCGACGGTTTGTAGGGATGATTACACAGGTGAGGCATTCATAGCTCTCGCACAGAGGTTGGCTTTAAGGGTACTAGCGCCGCTCGATTTGCACAGAATGCACGAGCGATGGTGCGTCTGTATGCTACTGCCGATTTCTTCGTTTTGAAGACCATCTTGCATTGAAGAAGGATACGCGGTGACTGTCCCGGGTACTCTTCGTGTCTTCAGCAGCGTTGCCTCTATCGCGATCTGCCTCTTCTGCTTCATCGGTCTGTGTTTGTTCGCTGTTTTTCGTGTGCCTCTGCTTGTTTTCTGTGTTGTCTTGTTCGTATTGTGCAGGTTTTACGAGCATTATTCATGATCGATTGCCACCACTGTATTCGACTCATCATGGGAAGTTTCATGGTGCTTTCACGGATGTTTCACACGCTTGCGGTCTCATACGTTAACTCGATTGGGTGTACCAGAGATTGCTGGGTTGACAGGATGGGCTTGGTGTTAGTCGGGATAAGATAAAAGGAGGCAAGGCTATTGGAATGGCCTCCTACATCGAGCTTCTTTCGATGATTGAGTATCAGGTTCCTCCTGATGACGCTACGTGAGGGGTAGTAGAAACGCATTGGGGAGTGGCCGCTAGACTGTGGACAGAGGTGGGGAGAGCTTTGCTCGCTGGTTGTGAGTTTTTGAGCTATGCTTCTATTGGATATTGTGATTCGAGCTAATCCGACTCTTTGCGCTTTCTCATCATTGGTTGATGGCTCTTTTGGTGTGCGTGTGAGATGCAATATTGAGCTATATGGGTGATATCTTTGTCATCTCTCCTCATGTTGCAGCTGATGTGCCGATCAGTTCATCATATCTTGATTAGCATAGCATCCGTTAGTGCGATTGTACACTAATTGGTGGCTATGTCGACGACCTGCGATGACATGTTTACAGCTTTCTCTTATTCCCTGATTTCATGGTTCTCTAGTATTTAGGGTTCTTTGCTTTTGACCTTATTGGCCGCGACCGAACACTTGGATCCTCGATCACTAATGATTAGTACAGTACTAGTATTTTGATCAATTGAGGTGGCACTACATACGATCTTAGTAGATATGAGGGTACTTTTGCGATGTGCTATGTGGTTGGGGGATTGTGATGGTCTCATCTGATTAGTCGTTTCTCTCGACGAAGAATCCGGTTCGTTTAGGGTTACTGTGAGATATGATCCCTAGATGCTTCCTTTTTCGTAGTATAATTACAGTGACGTGTCCTTTTCTCCGTCAGCACAGGTTACATGTGGGTACGTTTCCTGTGGTGAATCATAGCGTGATCACCCGTTGTGGTCTGTTACTGTGTCCGATCTGGTGCATCCAGGAAATAAGGCTGTGTTCACTATGTTCGTATAGCTTCCACGGGTCATTGGTACTTACCGGGTCGATAGCGATCCTCTTCTCCATTTGCGTAATGGCTACTCCGTTGAAATGTCTTGCGGAGGGGAAGGGCATTTTTCACGAGAATGCCCTTCCAATATTAGACAACAGTCAGCTTCATCTGCTGGTGGAACTGGGGCAACCACAACCCCAAGTACTCCTCGTTATTGAGCTCCGCGACGTACTGGAGGAACGTGAATTTTTGCGGGAAATGATGACGGAGAAGAGGCAGCATGAGGCTTTGAAGAAAGAGGTTGAGGATAAGCGTCGATTTAAAGAGCATGTGCGACTGGAGACGGCACGACATGCCAAATCTACCAAGGCAGAGTTAATGGCTTTGCTTGAGAGGCAGTTTATGATGTGTCGAGAAGAGGTGCGACGAGAGGAGTTCCGTTCTCCAGCCTCTTGTAATCCACGAAGGCGAGCGCAGAACTGGGACGATGAACTAGACAATGAAGACTTGGATGATGAGATCCGACGCCTCCTATCCTTACGCGAACGTGGTCATAAAGGGAAGGCGACGGCTACGGCGGATGGTGTCCGGTTTCGGCAACCTACCTTTGATAACCAGGACGGCTCGGTAGATGAGAATCGCACTCGAGCGGAGACTTCCAGAGATGGCGAGGAACGAACGAGGCCGAAAATTCCTGCTGGGAGCGGACCGGAAGGACTGCTCCAGTTCGTTCTTGATCAGAGACAAGAACTATCCACCATGAAGCCGGAGCAACTCAAACGCATATTGCACTAAGAATCCCTCCATTGAACGTATCATCACTGCACACGTGAAATGTGCCTACGAGGGATTTGTCTTTGTGCCAGCCTCCTCTACGGCGGGTGGGTTCCCGGGAGGCCGATCTGCCTCGTAGTTGACTGAACAGATTTTCTGTTTTTAAACTTTGGGATAATCTCCTCACATCTATAAAAGGTAGGTCAGATTTGTCGGATGGTCGATCCTTTTCTAGACGACGTGTTTTGTACGAAAAACTTTGCACTCTTTGCTTTGTGGGACTGGTATTACTAGGAGAAATTACATGGATGAGTAAGTTTGTTTCGCTTCTCCAATCAGTCGATTGGTCATCTTGGGACAAAGGTCCTACCGTGTATGTTCTCTCATCACCTTGGTGCAAAGCACAGTACGTAGGGAGTACGGTGCGAGGTCTCTACGTACATTGGGGGGAACACGTCCGTACTGTCTTATCAGGTGGTCTGGGCGTCTGTCCGAAGCTGTACAAGTGGTTGCGATCGTTCGAAGTTCAGAATTTTGTTGCCATTCCTTTGGTAAACGGTACTTATTCAGTCGCTTAGTATGAAAAGGCAGTTATTAGAACTTTCACTCCTGTTTTGAATACGAAACGGTTGAAGAGGACTTCGGTATTTCGATTTAGATTGTCAAGGAGAAGACGATTGGGGAATTCGCCATGCATGACTGGGTCGCTACGATTTCTCAGGTTTAGAGTGTCTGATGGGCCTTGGTCAGTGATTCTGTTTTTTTTTTTTAATTCTCCAATCTAGTCGTGGGATTACCTATGTAGGATATAGATAGATCCCAAGATTAAAAAGAAAAAAAAAAAACCCTGCAAAAATCTAGGATCACTCGCTCGGTCGGGCAAAAAAAAAAAAAAAAAAAAAAAAAAAAAACTTAAAAAAAAGTATTTTTAAATTTTAATTTTTATTTGAAATTTAGTGAAGAATTTCGATATGACCCTAAGGCAAAAGTTGTTCCAAGGACAGGGTGCTGATGCGACCTTCGCTGTTAAAGAGCAATGGCTAAGGACGATCGAGGGGGGATGGGACTTAGCCATTGCCCAGGGACAGAAAGGTCGCATCAGACCCGAGGGAGCTAACATGATAAGTTACTTGGCACCCAATCACGCCCTTAGAGATTGGATAGTTGAGACGCTCAAAACTGAAGAAGCAGCTGTTGTCGGTGGCAAGGCGTGCAAAATTTTGTATCGCCCATGGGCTACCCATGCCGAACTGGCAAAAGGGAAAGATGACGCCACGGCCCAGAAATTCTGGATCAGGGTGCTTCGTATCCCCTTTTTGGATATGCCCTTCTTCCAAGCTGCGGTGGAAAAAGAATACGGCCAGGTCCTCAAGACACATCCGCCAGACCAAACAAAGCAAACCCTCGTCTTGTCAACCGCCGCTATGACCTGCACCCAAGGTCCGAACTAAGATCGAGAAATTTTTGAAATTTCGGTCTTCCCAGGGGTGGCATAAGCTAGAAGTTGTCACCCAGGACACTCCATGGTGTGCAGACTGTAGATGGTTTGGTCACAAGGAGGGCGACATTGCGTGCCCCAAAAAGAAACCGTCGACGGCAGGCGCCTCAACAAGCTATGCAGCTGCGGTGGCTGGGACTGGGAAGGGCCTGAGCGGCCCGACGCCTAACAAACCGGTTAATCTCCTCCCGCCCATTGTCTCAGTTAACCCTTTGGGGTCTGCAGTTCAGGTTCACCCTTCGGGGTCTGCAGCCCAGGCTGACGTGACCCTGGGCCCTGCAGTGCACCCTGTCCTGGCCCAGACCGGGCAAGGCACCTCCTTGCAACAGCACAAACCGCCAGTGCCTCAGGCATCACTCCAACAGACTGAACAGCTAGGACACCCGTTGCAGCAGCAGCAATCACCACTACCCCAGGGACCGCTTCAACAGACAGAACAGTCGGGACTTGGGAAACCGCTGGAAGCTCAGCCTCCCCTTGAAGGGGCTCGTGATCAGCATCCTGAAAAGCAACCCTGTGATGGAGTTGTGCCCCTCCTCCTGGGGAAGGGATCCACCCAGCGCTGGACCTTGCAATGACGGATCTTAGGGCTGAGCCCCTGCCTCAGACTGAACAGACTGGAACGACCCGACCAGGGACCGAACAACAAGCCAGCACGTCGCATGCTGGCCCTGAGGAACTCATGCGTCAGCAAAAAGCGCAGAGTTTCAAAAAGAAAGGCATCACAGGAGGACCTAAACATGCGACTCATCCTTATGCCAGACAAAAGGAACACAGTGGGGAGAAGACTGGCCTGCAGCAAATCGTCACGGGCAGCTGGGCCGATGCTGCCGATGATGACACAGACGACTATCAACGACCCTTGGAACCTGCCCGTGCCCAGACATTCCCGGCTAACATGCTTGAAGCCATGGCGGCGGGGCAACCCTGTGTCGTTGTCCCTTTTGTCTTCATGGCACAAAAGGGCATGCTCCATGTGCTGGCTCAGATAGACGAAACTGGGATTCTCCACATTCCACATTTCCAGGTCTTCGAAGACCCCAAACCACAAGTGGTGCTTCGTGAGGTCCGAAAATGGCTGCAACCGACATTCCGTGTGCGATGCTACCCGGAACTGGAATGGGTCAGACTGACCCCTACCAACGACCAAGGAAGGACGGATCTGATGTTTTTTCCTTTGATTGACGCCGTGGCGTGATCTGCTACGGCTGCTCCTCCCTTGCCAGGTGTCAGGTGGCTCAGTTTGGCGCTGCTGCAAAATCCCGCCGGCCAAACGGTCACAGACACCAAAATTTTGGACTGTTGGACTGCGGTTGATGCACCACGTGGACAGTCACCTCCCTCGTCATAAGAGTATTTTCTCCCAGAATTTCTTAACCCTCAAATGCGCGGAATGGGACGAAGTGATTGCCTAGAATGACGGACATATTGCGGATAGTGACCTGGAACATCAGAGGATTGGGATCACGCAGGGTCGCTGCTAAAAGATCCTTTATCAAAACCCTCGCACGAAACAAAGGAATCCACATTCTGCTGTTGCACGAAACTAAGGTGGACGAAGTCACGACGTTACAACAAATGGGCTGGTGGTCTAGACCACAGTTCTGGGCCCCGGCCCAAGCTACGCGAGGAGGTGTGGCAATACTGTTTGCCCGCACCTTCCCGTTCTCTAAAACTGATCACTATTGGGATCACCGTGGCCACTGGGCCTGGGTTCGCTTCACTGTTGGAACCGAGCACTGGGCAGTGGTCAATGTATACGCTCCGGCGACACAGGCCGGTTGAATCGACTTCTTCAAATCTCTGTCGTGGGTCCTCCCTGATGTGGACAAATTGATCATTGGGGGGGATTGGAATACCACTCTCCTACCAGGGACGGACTCCATTCGGGTCACCCCGTTATCATCGGATGCGATCCTTTTGAATAACTTTATGCAAATGCAAACTTTGGCTGATGCGTTCAGGGCTCTGCATTCCCATGACCGAGCATACACATGGTTTGTCACAGGGGGTGCGAGACAGCAATATCTGCCTAGGAGCAAAATCGACTTCTTTCTTTTGGAAGAGGATTCAATGCTAAGAGTGACGACGTGCTCAATCCTGCCATGTGTGGGGTCCGACCATTTGCCTGTCTTTTTGGAACTGTTCCACAGTGCCACAGTGCGCGCAGGCCAGGACCGGAAGTCCTTGTCTGAGTGGGTGGCCTTGTCATCCGAAATGGACCTTTTCATGGCTGATTTCTGGCAGAAATGGGCCACCTCAAAAACGCTGTACCTCTCCACAGCCGACTGCTTGGTTGGTGGCCTCAGAATAGCTTTATTGCGAGGAACTTTGCTCCGTAAACTTATCACCCAATCCACTCACTCGCAACTTCAGGCCTTGCAAGAACAGTTGGCTCAGACTATTGCTCGGGCCTCTGACATCCATGTCGATGAGCACCAACTGATGCATGCCATGGATGCTATTCGCCCAAAAACTGCAGTGGTTACCCTACCTGCGGTCAGGGCAGCCTCTTTTCGAAACAAAATTTTGTGGCTGGTCAAGGGAGACCGAACTACAGAAGCATTTTTGCTGGTCATAGAACACACCTCCAATCGCCCTTGATGCTCACAATGCGTCACCCCTATAACGACTTGGCTCCCCTTGCCACTGACACATCAGCGGTTATTACTAACATTGCACTGTTTTATGAACAGTTGCTCTCATCTCAAGCCCTGGGCTCAGAACAACAGCTGCTTCATTAGTATCGTGACGTGGTGTGGGACAAAATGGACCACACTCTTTCCTGTTCGCATGCGAATTTGTTGGAAGCCCCTGTGACACTTTCGAAGATTACTAAGGCGGTGGCCTGCCTGCCCCTGCACAAAGTGCCGGGTCCGGACGGTCTTCCGCACACCTTTTTTAGATGACACCTTTTGCGGTTGCTGCCGGACCTTATGGCTACACTTAACTCGATCCACGGTGGGGCTGATGCCCCCCTTTACATGGTCACTGGTGTGATCACCTTAATTTGTAAGAAAGGCGACCAAGCTGACATTCGAAATTGGCGCGCAATCAGTCTTATGTCAGCGCTAAAGCGCTATATAAAATTGTTTTCAAGATCCTTGCTATGCGTCTACACTCAGTGCTGCCTTCCCTGATCCACCCGTCCCAGACAAGTTTTCTTCAGGACAGACAGATTCTTCATAACATTATGACTGTTGAACAGATCATCGAACTGGTGGCAGCAGGAGAAGAGCACATAGTTGTCGTTCTTATAGATCTAGAAAAACTTACGATAGGTTGGGCTGGGAATTTCTGCAAGCCGCCCTCACAGCTTTTGGCTTTGGACTGAGGTTCAGACACATGGTGCGATCGCTGTGCTCCGGAGCCACCTCACGATTCGTAGTCAATGGTCGACTCTCTCCTCCGATTGTGTTGGGAAGATCGGTGCGACAAGGATGCCCTGTTGCGCCATACCTTTACCTCATCTATGTCGAAATTATGCATGTCATCATTCGGGCACACCCTGGTGTCCCTGGCTTCTTGCTGCCCTCGGGAGACTGCCTCAAAACTGAATCTTTTGCTGATGACTCTGTGGCTTTCACCCCCATGGACAACAACGCCTTTCAATCCTTGCAGCAGGCAATTGCGCTTTTTGGTGAGATTTCTCAGGCCAAAGTTAATTGGACGGAATCTTCGCTCCTAATTCCTTCGGGTTTTGAACCGCCCCTCCATTGGGGGCTGCGTGTAGTTACCCCAACAGTGCCAACACAACAAGAAAGACTGCTGGGACACAAAATCTCCTTCACTCCTTACTTGGCAACGGACTCCTCTCATGCATTAACTGCAGCTAGATCATCTCCTAGACCATGGGTGTCGAGACCAGGGGTCAGCCTCTTTGGATGGCCCTGGTACTAAATAATTCGATCTTTTCTACTTTTTGGTATCAGCGTACAATCTTCCAACTGGACCTGCCAGCACAACAAGCGATAAAACACTTGGCGACCCACTACCTGTGGAAAGAAGAGATGTCTGATGCACCTTACCTTCCTAAGGTATCATGGGAGGTGGTTACACAACCCAAACGGCAAGGAGGCCTCTCCATCCTCGACCCGCCGTACCAAATTGGGGCGCTGCTGTCCCGATGGGTGCCATGGGCGATTTTGGCAAGCCCCCTTTCGCCATGGAGACAGCTGGCCGAATTTGCTCTCCTCGATGGTTGGGGCTGGAAGACACTGCGTTGTATTTGGTTGGCAGTTCTCCATCCTGCGTATCTTCGTAGGCGCCTACCACGAGGGATATGGTCTGGTATTATGAGGGACTGGCAACGCTGCTGCCCTCAACTTCTTCCCCCACGCAAGCTGACAGAGAGGATATTCACACAGCTGCTGTTTGACAACCTGTCCATTCTTACAGCGAACGGCTGCCCCTTCCCCTGTTTTGGAGGAGGAGCCTTTGGTGACTCCTGGATGAGCAGGGGGATTGGAACGGTAGTGGATATTTGGGACGTAGACCGAAGGGACTGGAAACCTTTCGCCGACTTGGCCCCGTCGTTGACGGGCCTCTGGCATCAAGCACTCCATCTTCGAACCCTCCAAGAAGCAATCCCTTTGGAGTGGGTGATGATTCTTTGATCTGGGATTGTTTTTTCACAAGGAGGATGGTATAAGAGAACAAAGGAAGATGCTCCTGCTCTTCTGTGGAAAATAGAATCGATTACGGACTCGCAAACTGTGCAGGCCTCATGCTGGGAGGCATCTCCACTGACAGCGACTACATCGCAAGGACCGCCGCTAATCCGGGCACAGTTGGAGACCCCGCTCCCGCCTCTGACTGGACTGCTGCCTGTGTGTGTGCTAGAATATTCAGACTCCAACTCTGTTCGGCCTTTCTCTTTGGCTACATCACCGTACAACTTGCCGGTGGACCCTAGGAACTGGCACTGGCCACCGGGACCCTCGAACAAAGACAGTGTTCCGTTACACAGATATACCACACGCATGGGTTATCAGATCTCCCGCCCGAAAGTGGATGTCAACTGGAGGGTTACTAAAAGATGGATGTCCACGGGGTGGATTCATGACACTCACACGCGGTTGTCTCAAGCTTTGCCAGCGTACTGGAATTTGCTGATGGAATTGCCTGTGGTCAAGCAAGCGTGCCTTTTGTGGCTATTATTGGTACATATGGCTGTGCCCACTGCTCTTTGGTGTGCCAAAAGAACATTCAAGGCCTCGCCTCTATGCTCCCTGTGCCCTGGATTTCGGATTGAAGACCAGCAACATTTCTGCATCCACTGTGACCTGTCCAGACCTCTGTGGAATTGGTGGCGCTCCGGAACGGTCCCGATTCCGCAACCGGGAACATGCTGGGACGACGATTTTATTCTCTTGGGTGCTGCGTCTCGTAGACAGCACCGTAGCAACCCCCTCACATATGCGGAGGATTGTTTACACGGAGCTGTACTTTGGACCTTGTGGACCCTCAGAAACTCGGCTGCGCGAGGGGGGGAGCAGTTCACACCCCCGATGGTTCGCGCTGAAGTCAAGTACTCTATCAAGCAGACGCTGTCAATCGAATGGTCGCTTAAAGTTGTCAACAAAGGGTTTTCTGCAAAAGCTCTCAAAAGATTCCACACACACTGGGCCTTGTTCGCTGTTCTGGTGGAGATGTCAGTTCAGTCTGGCCACACTCCGGAACTCAAATTTTCCTCCTTTTTTCTTTAGGACCTCCTCCTTTACACATGTGTGAACCCTTGTTTAGGACGACTTCCTTTTTCTGCATTAGTACCTTGCTGTACAAACGAAACTTGTGATGACACATCCACTGCTCGCCTTCTCTACCTGGGCTCTTGTACATAGCACTACAGGAGAAAGCAGTTTAGCAGTGGCAGCTTGGTGGTACAACTGTGGGTAGATACTACCGCTGACACATAGACTTGCTTTCATTTCTCGCTTTCTTTTGGCATTCTGCACAAGACACAGAGACAAGAGACGAAGGTTAAGACCACAACTGTACTATACCGTAGTTGAATGGTCGTCTTTTTCTACTTTTCCGGTTTTCTTTTTCCTTGTGGTTTTCCTTTGTGCATAACATTTGAAGTGTGAGGCAGTCCTGTTTTGGGGCTTGACCGGTGATGTCTCACCTCCAAACCGGACTGCGGACTTTTTGTAAGAGACGCCAGGCTCGATTCCTGGCTCTGTAGTATAAGGGACGCCGGGCCCGGTTCCCGGTTTGTTAAAAAAAAAAAAAAAAAAAAAAAAAGAAGTTGTTCAGTTTATTTTTCTGCATAACTTTTTTTTTTTTTTTTCCAGATTTTGTGAGTGTTTTCTTTATTTATTTATTTTTTTTGCTGGGACCTTCTTTGGTTCCTTGCACAGCCGGGCTGCCCGGGCAAACACGGTGACCCGGGCCGCCCGGCTGGTAGCCTAGATAGTCAATGAATTTTTTTGTTTTTATTTTTAAATAGTCGGTGACTCGGCCATCCGTGATTCTCTAGTGTTTTTTTTTTT